CATGTTTTATTGCAGCTGGGGCAGATGAAGGAGTCTGGTTTGGCTGGTGCAGATGCACCATGGTATTTCTTCTTTCTATGCTCCTCCCAGTAGACATTTCTCCTCTGGTCATTGCTGTGGATACACTACCTGACTGTCTGCCTGCAGGCACTGCGGTCATATGCAAAGGATTCCTACCTAGAAGGGTTAATGTTTTCAGCCTTCATGTCACATTTACAGACATCTTTTTAACACAGAGTTGGTCTGCCAACAAGCCTGGTGCCTGAGGCCAGCTCCCTGTAAAGGATGTCCTGCGGGATCCTGCCTCCCCCCCCCCCCATGTACATGACCAAGCAAGTGTAGACATCGCTGAGATAGAAGTGCGAACATGCTGGGAATCTGGGCCTGGAAGAACACATCTTTGTTTCAGCCTCTGTCCTGTCATGTGATGCCCAAAATCTTCCTTACACAGTGTAAATGGAAGGCATTGCGGCCTTGATGACTGTAACCATTATATATATAAATATATATGGAATATGGAAATTCAGAAAGAAGCTGGAGTGCTACCCAGAAAAGGTTCCACTGGGCTTCCATGCTATGTTACCGTGCTGCAGATTAAGGCCGTGGTTCAAAACACACAGGGAAGTGTTCCATTGAAACTAATGTGATTTTAGAACTGTAGGTTTTGTATACAAGTCATATCACAAACTCAGATTTTGTTGCAGATTAAGAAAATCACATGCACACACACACAAACACTGGTTTATAGGCAGTGTTCACATAGATGTATGTATGTATAATCTTGTAAGCTAATTAAGGTCATGCATTAACATTGTGAAGTCCAAGTTCATATATTGGATCATATCTTGATCCAACGAAATAAACTTGGTAAAAATGGCGCATTGAATAATGTTTGATATGAACAGTTACTTTTTAAAAAGTCAATGGTGTAAGTGTGTTGAGCATACTACTACTAGCTTTGGTTTTGAAAGGAGGCCCTTTTGTTAAGTATTTGCAAATTTGATTGACATCTCGAAGTTCTTTGAATCTCTATATAGATTATGACATGGACTATTTTGCTCCTGATGTTCTAATGTCAAGTAGTATTTATTTTAGTGCAATTCTAGAAGTGTCCACTCTGAAGTAAGCCCCAGTGTATATGTTATTATACGTACTGAGGCATTTTAATTGCAGACTTAAAGGGTGGGATAAGCAGGAAAACTTCTATTTAATTTTTTTCAACGTGTGGCTCCAGTACAGCTAAAATTAACCACGAGAACAATCCGTTGAAACAGTGTTATAACATTCACAGTTTTTAGTTGGACTTCTGAACATCTTAAGCATAAAAGTGAAAATATAATGTGAAAATATAATGTGTAAAATGTTGCAGGTTGGTTATATTCACAGTTTTAAGTTGTGTTACTGAGTAGCTTAAATAAACATACATTTCAAAATGTAATGTATAAAATGTTGCAGGGGTTTTATACGTCCTCATCTCTCCAGGTCGCAGATCCTTCTGCTTTCCTGTCACTCAGATGGAGATTTGGAAATGTTGGCATAATGCTAGCCTATACAACTTGCAACCCGTCAAAACACGCAAAGCTCACAACCCATGTACAGTACAGGCGGGTGTTACAAACTAGGTTTTATATCAGGGATAAGGAACATCCAGTCCTATGGTCAATCTTGGCTTTCCAGGGGTGGTTGAAGTTGAGGTCATTTCCCCCCAAACCACAGCCACCTGTTTGCTTGGTGATGTCAGCTGATGGGCAGGGGGACCCTGAATACTCAATCCTTCTAGATGCTGTTTTGCCAGTGTGTTCCTGCAGGCACCTGTTTTTTCTATGAGAGCATACCAGTGGATTTCATAATGGGCCAATCTCTTTGGCAGAGGCATTGGCCGCAGCTGCACATCATGCTGACCTATGTTTAAGCAAGAAATACACAAGCAGGAAAGAGCTCCAGTGACTCCCAGGCTCACACAATTTTCACTCCCTTCTCTTCTTCCCATGTGGCTGGGTGGAGCTTGGGAGCTTTTTCTCCCAGCAACAATGAGCTGACTTTAAGGGAAAATGAATGCAAGAGCTTACAAAGTCCTCCTACTGGCCACAATGCTGAGAGAAGTGTTCAACTCCAAAGCTAACTGCAGCTCCCTAGGTAGGCTCGAACCACCAACCTTCTGGTTAACAGCCAGACACACTGACCCATTACAAGAGTAAACAACCAAACCCTGATATGTGTACACACTGGGTTTACGTATCATGGTAAATCATGGCTTAACATACTTCCAAGAAGCAACAGCAATGATTAAAAGAAAAGAAAAAACCACCTCAAAGAAAGGGTTCAAAGATAGTGTGCCTGAAAAGCCAAGTTTTATTTTGATTTTTTTTAAAAAAACAACCACCTGTTTTTGCAATTATTAAAATAAAAGATAGACTTAAAATAATACGGTGAAATATGACTGTGGCGTGACAGATTATTTGCATCACAATTTGCATCACAATGCATTCAATGTTCAATCTGCTATTGTGCTATAGCATACAACTAGGAAAATAGTCATCATTGTGACATCTGATCCAAGGAAAAGGAGAAAAAGCAGGTTTCTGTGCTACAAGTTCCTCTGGAGGTGTAGGCAGTATCACTCCACTCCCATTGCACCCCCTGTGAAGGCTAGGTTTTGTCTTTTTTTTACTACGGGCTCCCTAAATGCTTATATTTTTCCCCATAGGAAGGAGTGGGAATTATTCACAGATATGAGATAAAGAAAAGGTACATTTGAGGAAAACATTGGAATGAGGTGGGCAAAGCTTGTTCTTTGTTAGAGTGGCCATGGAGCCCTCTCTACAGAGAACAGTCCTTTATATTAGTGGGCTGACCTCACTGTGTTACTGCTAGTATACAAAGCCTTTAACAACTTGGGTCAGCTTACCCCAAATGTGCCAACTAGACTGCTTCAGTTGGTGGAACTGGCACTTTTACACGTGTCACATAGTACCTGCAATGCATCTGTAAGAACTCGATCATTTGGTGTGATGATCACCAACACTTTGGACCTTCCTAACTATTGATATCAGGCAGACTATCTTACTACATTTTGAAACCTCCTTAATGTTTTAAATTACAGCTGTGGGTTGTTTTTTGTTTTTGTTTTAGTGGAAATGTTATTGTTTTACTGTGGGTTTTTTTGTGTGGTTTTTTTTTGGGTTAACCACTTTGAGGTTCTTTTACAATCAAGCAGTATATAATTTTTTTGTCGTTTAAATAAACAAATAAACAAATATTACAAGGTCTTAATGGGGTTCCTCTCTCCTTGAAGGAGCAGGTGTGCAGTTCAGAGGTATTCCTGGAACCACTGTTATCACTCGAGGCCCAAGTGGCCTTGGAGGCTGGAAGTTCCTGTGCCAACCTTTGGCCATTTCTAAGGGATAGGCTGGCTATTTTGGTACTCATCCTCTTGTGACCTTCAAGCTGGACTACTGCAATGTGCTGTATGTGGGGCTGCTCTTGAAGACGAGCTCATACACATATACTGGTTGCGATTGTCCAATTCAAGTTACTTGCTCTGATGTTTAAATGGTCCAGGACCCAAATATCTGCAAAGATACCTTCTTTCACATCAGCTTGCATGTGCTCTTAAGTTCAGGCCCACTGGGTAGTCCCTATACAGGACAAAGAATGTAGTGGGGAACAGCCTTTTCAGTAGAGGCTCCTCACATGTAGAACTTTCTCCCTGCTGAGGTGCATCTGGTCCCATCACTTTGTAGTTTTGTGTGGCTGGATAAGATATATCTTTTTGGGCAAGCACTTGGAGGAGAAGAGACTTGTTTAGATAAATGAATTCATTGCTGCTGTTGGTTTTTAGTAAAGTGCTCCTTTAGTGAGTTGTGTTTTGTATCTTAAGGGCTGTGTTATTTATGGAGTTTATAGATTCTTTTTATCTAATTTGACTTTGTTGTAAATCGCCCTGTGGTTTGTTCATACAGCAGAATATAAATCATCCAAACTAAATAAATACATAGGAAAGAGACAGATACAGAGGTTGCATGTTCAAGCAAGCACTCCTGTGGTGTCCTCCAGATGTTGTGAAATTCAGCTCCTGTCCTTAACAATGACAGCAGCTGATGGAGGTTGCAGCCTGCCACATCTGGAGGGCACCACGCTGGCTATTCTTGCTGTAAGATGTCCCAAGAATTAAGCTGGGGTTGGGCATCCCTACAATGACTTTCTCCTCCATCTACTAGCAGTCTTCCTTGCTATGGTGAAATGGTGATTAATGAATTAATTTCCATGTACATATCTTAAGGTGATGTACAAAATATAGTGCTGCACAAAATATATAACTACCAAACGCCTTGGGAATCAAGCCTGCTCTGTTCTGAATGGCCCCACCAGAAGTTCTCTCAACTTGAGTGTGATAGAATGTTCAGAATTCAGAACAAACAAAATGTGGCTTAGTTGCAGGACCTGCAGGAGTGCCTGTAAAAAGTTGTTTTTTGGGGGGTGGGGGTGGGAATGAAGTTTCTTTAAAAGGGACCCCTGAACGGTTAAGTCTGTCACATGCAGAGCATCATCATCCTCTTCATCCTCGTCTTCCGCATCTTCCTCATCTCTCTCCCCCACCTCTCACACACAAACACACGACATCAAACTACATTTACACAAACCTATCTTGTTTACCACACTATTCAGTTTGCCCCCACTGTCAATATATTTAAATGCAATCTGAAGACTTTTTTGTTTGCACTGTTGTTTGGTTCTTAATTATTTTGTGCTGGGGGTGTAGTCCCTTAGTTAACTATACTGCTGCTCTGCTGTATTTTATTATAGTGGAGTAATTTATATTTATGCCTTACTGTATATGGCTGTTTTGACAATAAATTATGTGAAGCCACCCTGTGCTCCAAAATAAAGGGTAGAGCATAAAAATAACAAATAACTATTTCATGATGTTCCTTTATCCACACTGCTTCTGTTAATACACAGAGAGATGTGTATTAATTATGTTTTCTTTCTTTTCCCAGATGAATTGGAAGAGGCAGACGAGTGACAAAGTTGGCTCAAGGCAGTTGGTCCAGCATCTTCTGTGTCTGCTCACAAGGAGCCGATGAGGCATGTTATCAGTCCTTCAAGATGCAATGCAATGGCCTCTTCTGCCATTACATTCTTAGAAAAAGGCACAAGTAAGTTGTTTCTGTGAACTGTATCCAAATGCACGAGTGGTGAGGAATATTCATCACTAAAGACACCATGCTTGATTTTTTAATGCTGAATTTGATATTGCAATTTCAGGATTTTGTTTTTACAATGGCATTTCCAGTCCTTGGTGCTGCAGAGATCGTTTGGGCATGCAAGAGCAGCTGTTTGTTTTTAAACACCCTCAAAGGAACTTAGAATAAAAGCCACCAAAACAAAGTTTAAAAGCCTCACAATAAAAAGCAATAAATGTTGCATTAGCAAAAGAGATTGAAAACAAACAGGCTAACCATGTCCTTCAATGTGTTTGCAGTCCCTAGTTACACATATTTCATCTAACCTCTCTTCAGCCATCTCAAAACCTAGGAACAGCATGAGCACTACATCACTGAGCAGCTGAGGATAGCCTGGTACAAGAACTATGTATCTTTGGTACATTGCTTATTCTAATAAGGAGCCAGCCTTCTCCAACCTGTTGCACTTCAGATGTTTTGAGCTACAGGTCCTATTAGCCCACAGCCAGCATGGTCAACAATCAGAGGTGGTGATAGCTGTACCCTTGAGAAGGCTGCTTTGTGCCATTTTATATTCCCAGCAGGTTGTGCTTTGTGTGATTGAAAGTCTCTGAGACTATCTACTTTTTCTGCATATATACAAAGCATATTTAGGAAGTTTCCTCTCCATCCCATCCTACTTCATCAAAAGGGAGGAAGGGATCTACTCGTTTCAAAAAGCCTCACTGAGTGGTCAGACAGGCAGTCTGGGACTCAAGAATTATAGGTGAAAGGAATGAAATGAAGGCCTGAAAGCTATAATTTATCTTTTTGTGGTGTCATCAGAAGCAGCTGTTAGAGGCAGGCAAATTAAAGATTTAGGTTTCCTCGGACAGCTAGCTCAGGAACGGAAAACTACTGAGAAGAACAAACAATTTGTGCCTATCTAAAAAAACTTCAGGATCTTTTGACCTGCCTGGTTTGTTTTCTTCTCATCTTATCTGTTCCTCTGGCTACACTGCTCCCCATGTATGGCCACAGATTGCAACCCTATACTATTCCCCACACACACACTCCATCCAAGTACTACTGAGATAACCAGTAAGAAGCAATGAGAAACAGAGGCTTGGCCCCCAATGTTGTCACCATCTTAAAGTTCACTGGTCTACTTTTCAGTGGCATGTGACAGGCTGCTTACATACAAGGTGCGCATGCAAAACCCTTAGCATTTCTAGGTAGCACTATGGGGTGTCTCTGTGGTGGTTAACAAACATCTGCCTTCCCTTTTTTGGGGAGGGGGGAACCACTGAGATTACTTGAAGGAAAAACATTTTTTTACATACAAATTGTAACTGCCTCATAAACTGGAAATTATATAAAGCCGAAATCCCAAGTCTGCGTACTTTAAAGTAAACTCCATCAAGATCAACAGGACTTCTCCAAGGGGAATACAGTGGTACCTCAGGTTACAAACACTTTGAGTTACAGACTCCACTAACCCGGAAGTAGTACCTAGGGTTAAGAACTTTACCTCAGGATAAGAACAGAAATCATGCCGCCGGCCCTATTAGCTAAAGTGGTACTTCAGGTTAAGAATGGTTTCAGGTTAAGAACGGACCTCTGGAATGAATTAAGTTTGTAACCAGAGGTACCACTGTATATTTAGGGTTGCAGCATTAATGGGAAATATACTGCTATTTCTGTATCAGATTCCTGACACGTAGGGCAAAGCTTGTCCCACCCCAAAAGCTCTTTGCCTCTGCTGCGCTCCTCCCAGTGTCCCCCCCCATGCAATTATCGTTATTTATTTGCTTGTTTATAAGATTTCTGAGCCACCTTTCATCATAATCTCCCGGTATATATAATCTATAAATACTCTCAATGTATCATTGTAGTATAAAAACAACCAGCAGACAATAACCAGTAAAACCATTTCAATCAAAACAGAATGGAACAGTATAGTATAGCATGTATGTGCGTTATCTATATCAATATTTATTAGTCCCTTTTCTCACAAAGTGACCCAAAGGGACTTACATTGAAAGCAATGAAAAACAACCTAGTAAAAACCTAGTAAAAACCTAAAAACCTAGTAAAAACCTAAAAACATAGCTTGACAGCTCCTGCCCAACCAAAAGAGGTCTTCAAATTAAGGTTCAAAAAAGCCTGAATAAAGGGGGGAAATACCTGTATGTGTGGCACCCCACATGTTCAGTCCCTGACTGTTCCCATATCGAGTTAGGAAATGAATATAGTCCTCTGTGCAGAGCAACCCTGATAAAGCAGAGTTCAACAATGTGTGAGGTAGTCTATTCACATTCAAGCAAACATGAATTAAAAAAACAAACAAACAACCCCTACAGTCTTAACCCCTGTGCTCAACACAGGTAAAGTTGCAGACTTAGTGCACATGGCAACACACACACAGAGATTTTAGGGTTGGGTCTTGAATATGCACATCTGCCTCCCATCCACAGATGCAGCATTCAGAGGATGAGGCAGATTCATGGACATGCCTCGTGTTGGCTAACCTGGTTTTGCAGCAACTAGTATTCCCATGTTGTAAATGACCTAAGGCTAGATAAAGACTTTCCTGAGGCCCCCTCCTAGTGCATTCATGGCCAAGGGGAGATTTGAACCAATGGGATGGTGGGGGTTCTGTCTCACAGCCCCCACCCTTAGCCATAACACCACGTCGTCCTTGTCCAAAATGAGCAGCTAGCTATTCAGCATGGTAGCGGAACACGATGCAATGTCTCGCTAACCGTTCCGTGCTTGTACGTTTTAGCAGATCGTGAGGAATGTTTTACAAAGCAGGGAAAGTGAAACAAAGAGAAAAAAACATATTCATTCAAGCGGGGGGGGGGGGGGGAGTTGGTGATTTGTTTGCCCCCTTCGTATGCCGGCTGTTTCTACACTAGAGGATAAATAGCTGCTTTTATGTTGAACAATGCTTACCACATTCGCTGACAAGCAATTGCTTTCTCTCTGTTTAGTCAACCAGGCTTCCAGATAAAAGAAGTTTGGAAAGAAGAGGGGGTGGGTTTTCTTTCCCCTGCAGTGAGGAGAGACAAAACAGCCACAGTATTTGTGCCTTGTCCTTTGCTTAAGCAAGGACTGAGCTGAATATCTCTAGTAAAAGTTTTGTTGCTGTTTATATCCCCCTCTCAGTTCTTGCCATGTCTACACATAATCCAGGCTGGGTGTGAATGCTAACATAGGCCTTCTTCAGCCGTCTCATATATATTATTTGGTGGTGAGTTTGTTAAAAGCTCTACACTCCACCTTTACAAAAGAGAACTACTGGAGGAGGCGAGGGGAGTCGGCAATTTTGCACAGATCCTTCCTCTATGAATTCTTTCAAATAAAAAGAGAGCCCCCACACCCTGATTAAGGTAGAATTAAGGCTCCTTCAGACTGCTGAGATTTAAGCTCTGGCTCCATTTATGGCTGGGTTTTGTTTTTTGTTTTTAACACACACACTATGGACTAGACTGTGATACAAGGGTATGCATCATGAATGTGCATCATACCATCTGTCTGTTCCATTTGTCCGTGTGGTTCTGCAGTCAAAACAAATCCGTCAACCCAGATTTGCTAGTGGTGGGTTGCCTAGGAGCCAGGATTACAGCATTGCTCTTGCGTGATGTGTGTGTGTGTGTGTGTGTGTGTGTGTGTGTGTGGTTGCTGTCTTTCATGATATTGCTTGCCTCTTCAATTATGCCCCCCGCCACACACACACACACACAAATCTCAGAAGACTTTTGAAAGCGTTTCAGGAAGCATATCCAATTCCTCTTAAGAGAGGCTCAGAAATGCACCCAGTTTGGAACAGGGAAACTGAGGAACAATGATTCATGTAGCTTATTATTCCTTGATGTGCAGATGAAGAGATTTATTTGGTTTCTTACCTGCCATTGACCACAATTTAAAGGACAATTTAGAATATTTAAAACAAATTGTAGCCACAAGAATAGGGTGGGTCTTCAAAACACACATCTCAAGTGACAAAGGAATCTTCAGCATTCACCAAAAGCTGTATAGTGGAGTGGATATGCCAAACACAACTCTGTGGGAAGGAAATCTCACTACTTAGGTGCTGCCACAGAGAATTTCCCTCTCCACCACCCTTTTGAGGGCAGTGGAACTACCAGGAGAGCTGCTTCTTGCTGATCTTAACATATAATGAAGACGATGGCAACAGTGATGTATGAGGAAAGCCAGACAGATGTTCTGAGTGGGCCTGTGGAAAAGTGATAGGTTGCTGACTCTTTTATTCCCAATCTGGAAACTTCATATTGTGCAGGCTATATCTCAAATGGACTTAGATATTTTATATGGAAATCTTGTTTGGAAAGAGCTTACATCTATAAGCTCCATGGGTAGGCTGGAGACAGATGGGAGTTTTAGGAAGATAGGTTAATGTCAAGAGGCCTACTAGTTACTTACATAGGTAGCACTCTGAAATACTTGGTCATGTTCAGCAGCTCTGCTCTCTCCCCAGTTTCAGCCTTCATCAAATGCTATTTGCAAAGGGTGGGTTAGTGACTGCTCTTGTCATTCTCCGATTGGCTCTGTCTTTCTGTCTTGCACATGTGCAAATGGTGCTCCCCAACATGAAGAAAGGCTAAATCGTATCCACATTTCCATTTTGCACTGCCAGAAAGAAAACATCAAAGATTTGATCCTGCATGTCATATGACTGCCTTTCTGCAAGGCAGAGAACCCAGCGCAGAGGGAGACAATTTATCTAGATAATCCAAAATGGAGGCTACAAATTTAATTCAAAGTTAATTTGGTGTTGCATTACGGAACAGCCTTTGTTACATCCTGAGTTGTATTCAAGGTAGTCCCTGGTTCCATCAGTGCAAGGACTTCTCCTTGTTCAATGAACCGGTCTTCTCCATTCCACCTCCCACTTGCTTCTTCCATTGATTCTGGGGGTTCCTCCTGCCCTCTGCTGCAGATTGGGGCAGGCAGCGCAAGATGTAGGT